AGATATAGTACTTAAACTATCAGTTTTGGTCTATTTTAATACATGAACTTTCAAAAAAAATAAAAAATCAACGTTAAATTTTGAACATGGTACTGACATGAATTAAAAACTAAACTTTAGGTATAATTTTGAAAAAATTAAAAGTACTAAAACAAACCAAAACTAATAGATTAATTACTAAAAGTGTAATTTACCCTTTTTTTATTAGCACCCCTCCTAGTTTGTGTCTTTAACATTGACCCTTTTCTAAAAATTAATACAATAATAAAAAATACATTTTAACCCCCTGAAATTATTTAAGTCAACATCAGCTCCCCTAAAATTTTAATGATTATGTCCTTGTATAAATATATATATACATACATACATAGCAAGCCTAAGTTGATGTCAAATCCATTACATGTTGAGGTCTATACTATATATTAAAATTATTGACTAACAAAACTAAATCCACTATAATACGATGACCAAACCTCCTCCTCCGACTTGTTATCCTCTTTTCGGTCACTTTGTGCCAATGAATTAATACATTTCATTGGCATCATTTTCCTTTTGGTCATGAATCATGATTTGTGTCAATTAATATAATATATTTCAATGATGGCTATACACACTTACATTAGAAAATAATAATCGAAGTATCGGTTGATCGAATAAAATAAAATATTATATTTTTGCAAAGGGTATCCTTTACCCTTACTTGTCTCGATCGTATTTTTATATTAATTTAATTATCGAAATTACTTAATTACATCATTATACATCTTATTTCTAACTTAAAATATAAACCTTAAAATATAATCTCGTAAACTTTAAACTTTAAACCCTAAATATTAAACAATAAATCTTAAACCCCGACTTAGAGTTTTAAGTTTAGGATAAGATATAAAATGATGCAATTAAATAACTTTGAGAGTCAAATTTATGTCAAAATACGATAGAGATGAAAATGATAAATCGAGTCTATTACAAGAGCAAAGGTGACCCTTAAACCTATGTTTTTATATAAAACAAAATATTTAAATTACCATATTATAAATAAAAAATTAAATAGTTATTTTTGTAATACTCCTATCTATATATCTTTTTATTTAGGATTTATAAGTTTTTTATTATGAGTTTTTTTATTATGAAATTCAATTTAGATTTTGAATAAGATAAAAAGGTTTTAAAAGTGGATTAAATTAAATATCAAATGAGAAATGCGATATTAGATGAAATTCTAAATTAACTAAAAGTATTACCCAACTCGAATATTTGTTGTTCTTATGTGTAGCATATAACTAGGGAGGCAACAAGATCTGAACTCAACAGGTTTTGATTCGATACGATCGAATCTGACTTTTTAAAAAATTGAGTTTGGGTTAAGTTTTTTTATAAAATATGTTCATGTCTATCAGGTTTGGGTTTAGGGTGAAAAATATCCGACCCGATCGGACCCGAAAATAATATAAATTTACCTTATATATTTAAAGATAATTGCAATAATAACCCTCTATATTTGTTTTTTCAATTAGATCCCTACTTTTTTAATAGAAATAATGTTTTTATAGATATATTTATTTCGGGTCGATGATAGAATTTTATCTCAAAAAGTCGAGTCAGATTTGAGTCAAGTGAAGTCACCCATAAACTCATGTTGGATCATATTTTGATCCGATCTGATCGACTATATTTTTTGAAAAAATGGGTTTGGGTCAAGTATTTTAAAAAATATGTTTGTGACGGTTAGATTCAGGTTTAGGATAAAAAAATATTCGAACTGACATGACCAGAAAAACAATATAAATTTACCTTATATATTTAAAGATAATTGTAATAATCTCTCAATTAGAGTTCTACTGTTTTTAAATAGGGTTGGATTGAGTCAAGATGAAATTTTATCTCAAAAAATAAAATCAAATTTGGGTCAAATAAAATCATTCCTAAACTGAGGTTGGATCGAGTTTAGGTTGAAATGTATATATTTTCATATACGATATGATAGATTTAAAACTCGATCCGATCTGACTCGTGTACATTCATACATGTAACCTAAATATAGAAATTTTTTTAAAGTTTCTTAGGTTTATGGTGGATTTGTTCTGCCCGAGGAGTCTCTATCTGAAAAAAGCTTCAGAATCATGAAAATGGGCACAAGTATGATGATATCAAATGATCATTAATGACAAGCATTTTTCTTTGAGTAATAATAGTAATAATAAAAGAGTAATCATCATCCCACTGGTTGAATGATTAATTTCACTTCTTTTTTCCAGAAAAAATAAATAGAAACTGTAGACGTTTATGATATAGTAAACGAAAAAGACAGACATAACTACAAAGACACACTAAAAGCAACGTGGGAAAGTGCTAATTATATAGGTGTTTTAAAAGCAAACAAGATCCAACATAATCATATGTTTAGGGTTAATCCCACATTATATCTTTAGATTGTGTCTCGTATTCTAAAATGATCATAAATTTCATAACATATTAATTGAATCCTTAAAGTACTAGTATAATATCAATCAAATCATTTGAGGGTAAACTACATATTCAATACTTCAACTATCAATTTTGATTTATTGTAGTACCTAAACTTTATGTATGATTTTAAAAAAATTAAAAAATTAGATACTAAAACTGACCAAAATTAATAGTATAGGTACTAAACGCGTAATTTATCCATCATTTTATATTTGAGTCATCAATCTAAATATTAAATGTCGGTTTAAATAATTATATGGATCCAAGTTCATATATGTACATCTACAATATAAATAATTTAGATCTAATATGTAATTACAAAAGGTGTTAGAGTTATTTTAATATTTTAAAACAATTTAGATTAAAGTTATTTTAATTACAAAAGTCTCTTAACCTTGTGGTCGTGGGATCATGTCTCACGGTGGGCAATTCATAATTTCTGACTGTCGGATGTCTCCCATGGAAGTAGCTCTCAACTTGGCGTTGGCGGTAACCTACTATTTTATATCTCCTTACCCCCATTACATATGAGAATATGATCAGTTAATTTTTAATTTTTTTATTAACTTATCGTATTGACCCATTTTTTTGAGAAAAATTGTTTTATATTCTTCTATCGAATTAACAAATCAAATATTATCATTAGATTTTTTTTAAATATAACATATTTCAATCATACGGCAGAATATCAGAAATAGAAGCATGAAAATCATATGATAAAAACAAAGGTGAAGAAAGAGACAAATCAAACTTAGCTATACGATGAGCAGCTAAATTAGCGGATCACATATTGATATCGATTAAGTAGATTTTGAGTTCGAAGTTTTGTGATTGAAGAAAATCTCTATCGAGAGATTCACCCATCAAAATTAGATGTACAACACAAAACCCCCTAGAGACAAAGATATAGAACGTATTAACATCAACTTGTGATCGGAATAAATAAACAAATAAATATTTAAAGAAATAAACAAAAAATGGAATTAAAAAATACCATTTGTTCTTTTGATAATAAATTATTTTCGGTAATCAAAACATTATTTTAATTATTGGAATAATAAGGATAGATGTATTATTGACTAAGAGATTTTAAGCGTAGTTTTTTTGTTGTTGATAAATTTGGAGCGAATGCAATGTAATATATGTTCTAGGAATGGGAATGAGTCGGATTTTTGGTCCACCCGACCCGACTCGAGATCAAGGGATCCTCCACCCGAGATCCGACCAAAACAAGATTTCACCCGACCTGACCCGATATAGAACTTAAAAACCCGATCAGACCCGAAATAATAAAAAATATTATTTTATTCAATAAAAACAATAACTTAATTGAACAAAATAATATATAGAGGGATATTATTGTAATTGTTCCTAAATATATAAGATAAAATTATAATTTTTTCGGATCGGATAATTTTCACCCTAAATCTAAACTCGACCCAATCTAAAACCCGACCCGATTGGGTTGGGTCGGAACCCGATAACGAATGCTCATGTCTTTACATATTAAGTGCTCGAATTCGAAATCTTAATGAATAATAATCTCTTAGTCACTAAAATCGTTTTTATTCGTACTAGGAGTTGAGAGTTAAAAACTTAAAAGTCCAATAAATGTAAATTTATGAATTTTTATATATTTTTTAATTTAAAACATAATTTGAGCTTGGCGTAGGCATCTGCTCTATCCCCTCGTTTTTTAGGGGGTGGTGTAAGTTTTACAGCTCAATTGCCACAAATTGCGGAACACAATAGTATAGGTCCAATAGGGCCTTGACTGGATGTGTTTACTTTTGTTTTGACTACACAATTTCATCTATCACAAGAACTCAGCCAACGTGCCTCCCCTGAACATCATCATCATTTTTTTTTACTTTTAACCCACGAGAATGGCATCAAAGCATCATTAGTTTTTTTTACCGAGATTAATAACATTATAATAAACCATAGGGATAAAACATATACTATATTATTACATCACTTTCAAGTTCTTTCTTTCCACTCAAGATCCTTAACCGATAAGTTTCTTAATAAAAGTGTATGATGATTATTGGTATTTATAAACTTTTGGTGCAAATTTATTTTATTGATCTTCTCCTCAATATGTGATTCTACATTATTCTATGATTGGTTATTTTTTCGATACTTAATTTTTTCTTCGTTTGTGTAAGACAATCGTTAGTTATAATATATATGTGCATGATAAGATTGTCGTTAAGGGAAAACCGTTTTTTTCGTTGATTGTTTTGATTATTCTTCAAATTTTTCTCCTCCATGTTTGATGTTCAGAACTGTTGGTGTAATTCGTTTACGTACGTTGTTACTTCATTTGTTCTTGCTTTGATTTATCAAGCTATCACTACACGATCATTGTTATATTTTATTTATGATAATCACAATAATATTTGTTTAGTCTGTAATTGACAAAACATTGTTGATGTGATTTCCGATAAATGAATATATACTAGTATTACTTTTAAAATGAAAAATTAAGAAATTGAAACAAATCAGCAAAGAATACATGAAACTGCTTGACCAATTGTAATTTAAAGCCTACAATTATACCCTGTTATTTACAACCCTAAAACCATACACAAGTAGTCAAGAAAGGTACATGAATCTCTCTAATGCCACATTCATCCCACCAAAAGGATTGAAATAAAAAGAAGCAAAACTGGGAACCAAAAAACATTAGCGAATGATGTTTGAGAGTAGTTGAGTTCAATGCCTGGACGTGGATGCAAGTGCCACTGCTTGTGCCCACACCTTAAGCCGAGCCTTCACGTCTCTCGGGTCATCACCTACGCAGCAAAACAACCCCACGTCGGGTAAACTGAAATATGCAAATTGAAGCCGAGACAGATAAGCAGACAATATTTTTTTGACTAACCAGGGCTAGATATACGCCAATTTGCGATGGGGGAATTGCCGCCGCTACTGGTATTATCGAAAGTGGAACCCGACAGCGAGACACGGCCGGGCATCTCGAACAACCGCTCGTGTTCCAACTCGAACCCGAGATCCCGACACGCCTTCACTTCGCCCAAGTCCATACACAACGACCTGTTCCCACCTTTAGGCTTTGTAATGACCAAGACACCTCCTCCTCCTTCACTCTCCCCACTGAAACTCCCGCTGTAATTATTGCCGCCGTCTTTCCTTTTGCTCTCACTTTTACCGCCGCTTAGCTCCGCCCGTCTTACCCTCGTAACCCTCATCTTCCTCGGGTTCTTGCTCCGGCCGCTCCGGCCTTTCGGCCTCCCCAAACCACCCCTTTGCGCTTCGTTTTCGCTGGCGTAATCTTTCACCACCGCCATCAGCATCCCGGTTCCGTTCCTCCGACGAGGCGGCGTGGCGGGAAGCGAGTAATAGCCAGGTTCTTGGTCGGAGTCCGATGACAACTCCAGAAACTTCTTGCCGGAGCATTCTTCGTCCACGTCCGCGTCCGCATCGAAGCTTTCGATCGACAATCTCGACATGTCATTAGGCATCCCCATATGACGATGATCATCATCATCATCATAATCATAATCGTCACCATCATTAGTACACATGGAAAGCCTGGACAAGTTATGTGGATGAAACCCAACATCAAGATCATCGTACTCATCGTCTTGTAAAGAGGAAACAACCGTCATACTTTCATCTGACGCCATTTTCTCTTTTCTCTGCAACCAAACAAAATCAAAGAAAGCGAACAAGGTAAAGTGTTTTCAATTAGGCGTTTAAGCTTTTTGTGAATCAGTCGCTGTTGTTTTTCATTTCATGATAAGATAAAAAGGGTAAAATGAAAGTTCTCTGCTTCAACCACACAATTTATACTTGCAAAATGGGTGCTATAAAATTATAATTCTCATATTTTACTCACTAAATTACCTTTTATTAATATTAAAAAATTGCTTCCCACCCCCCCCCCCCAAAAAAAAGAACTGAAAATGTTGTCCGCGCGGCAACGCTGAGACAAATGTCGTAGAGAATCAGCTGAAGTGGGACTGTCCCCACTCCACTCAGTTTAGAACACGTAGCTTAAGACGACATCGTTTGTTGCTGCTAAGACTGTTCGATTCGTTGCCGAGTCACGACTCAGTACTCACCAGCAATTAGAATCAAACAAAGATCGCGACTTGCCCGCACGATTTCCCAAAACCTGGCCAGATTCGAAATCAATTCACTGATTTATTTTTCTGGTTAATTTATTATTTTCTTTTTTTAATTGTTCTTCTGATTTTAAGTCTTTACATTAATTAATCTAAATAGACTCGCGTCTTAAATTTGATTTTGATGAGTTAATTTTTTTGCATACAATAGTTTGAATTTGATGCGTTATTTAAATTATATCAAATTATTTATTACTTAAATTAGAATATTTTTTTCGATTTTCTTATTTACAAAAATGATCAATAATAAAAATGAATTATATTTAATGTAGCACATTTTTAGTAACATTTTAGACAAATTGAGACTTGTTATATACTCTCTTTTGAAGGTATTAATCTAGAACAATAAATTTCTCTCATTTTATATAATCTTGTAATAAACAACTCTTTTACAACTCGGAGTATATTTGTTGTTTTAATAATTAATATGATAATTAATAAATAAAATATATTAATGAAGACAATCATTATAATTTTAACGTTGTTTGTCGTTAAACAGCACACCTCTTTCAATTCATCTTATCATGTAAAACTAAATACATATAATAAATATAACTGAATTTTCTTTTTTTTCCCCAAAAATAATCATTTCACATTCAACGTTACACTTTTTTTTTATATTTTTGGTGTTTGAATTTAAAACTTTGAAAAATAAAAACAATTTATTTACAATTGAAATTGCTTGCTTGGTGCTAATACAAGAAGAAAGTTAATACTAGGGATTGCAACCGAAAATATGTACCATCCACCATACCTGGCCCGATATAAATTAAAGATTTAATTAAAGTAATAATAATTTTTTTAATGAAATTATATTATTATCCTCTGGTCGAGTCGGATCGGATCAAATTTTTTTACCCTTCACCCGAATCTAATCTGATCCAACTTCACCTCTTATAAAATCTGATTGACCTGATCCAAAACTAAATTTAAAAAAAAATTGACTCGATCAGATCAAAACCATCCAATACGAGTGATATTACCATCCATAGTTAAGACCATCAAATAAAGTAGGGATGGCAATCGATTCGACTCGAGAAGAAAGGGTCCTCCACCCGTGATCAAATTAAGGTTTCACATGACCCGACCCGAATATATGTCTTAGAAACCCGATCCGACTTGACCTGAAATTAAAAAATATTTTTATTCAATAAAAACAATGACTTAATTGAAAAAATTATATATAGAGGGGTATTATTGTAATTATCCCTAAATATATAGGATAAAATTATATATATTTTTCGGGTCGAATTTTTTCTATCCTAAACCTGAAACCGACCCAAATAATGTATAAAAAAACCCAAATCTGATTTTTTTTAAAATTCAACCCGATCGAGTCAGATCGAACCCGTCCGGTCAGATTGAGTTGCCATCCCTAAAATAAAGGCTCGAAATACATGAGTAAAGGAAATAACAACAATTTTCGAAGAAAAAAAATCCCTTCCATATAAAAAGAATTAGATTCGTTTACTTTATTAATTGGTAATTTGATCTTGAATGGATAGAGACAGTTGATTTACCGCGTGTTTCCCGTGTATGCGATTCTTTTTAGGTTGCCGTAATCGGATAAACTTTACTGTTGTCTGTGGGGAAGTTTGTCAGGTGTGTTCGGGCCCCACCGGAGTGTTAAGCTGATGTATGTTACCGCGTTTCAACAGCCACCTGTCCCCTTTTTCTCCCCCTCAAAGGCCCAATTGGGGTCCACGTGACTACGGCCCGGTCTAGTCTCCTGATCGTGCACCCAACACATCACTAATCTCACACGGTTGATATATTAAAAATTATGAAATAGTTTTTTTTATTATAGGGTGTTTTTTTAAATTATTTAATTATTGAAATTTATAAAATGATTATTTAATTATTTATTATACTTTAAACTCATTATTTTTCTTTAAAACTTGATAGTCGTTTGTAGGGATGGAGCTATAATTAGATATTGATAAGAGTCAAAATACTAAATTTTTTAAGAAAAATATAATGACTTATTAGGTATTTAAATTTAAAATTCATACGAAAATGTATAATTTATCTAATATTTAAACTTACAATAACCTATATTGTTATTAGACAAAAAAATGAGAACATTGTATTAACCTTCTTTAGTTCGACACATACTTAATTAAAATATTTAATAAATTATTATATATTTTTTAAATTTGAATACTTATTTTAATATAAACTAAAATACTTCTAAATAAAAATCTATCAAACATAAAAAAATACAGGGGTTGAGGCCTCTTTGGGCCCTAACAAAGTTTTGTCCCTCATTGTTTGAGCTATGCGTTAGCTGCTGACTAAGATGTGATAGTCGTTTGAGATTATGATATTAGATTATATCATATATCAGTTAGGACGTTAACGTCTAACTCAAATTTCTATAATTTTTTAATGGAAAATAGACTAGTTTAGAACACAATAAATAGTCAGGGGACTACTTTGTAACTTTTAATAGTTAGAAGACTTAAAAAAAGTAACGTCGATGACTATTTTATAACTTTTAATAGTTATAGAACTCAATAGAATAATATCTTATAGTCGGGATTATTTATATATTTTACACTTTTATTTATTGAATTAATACTTTTAGCCACCCTCGTTATCTTCAACGTTTTGTGGAGATTAATGGGTTTAGTTAACACAGCCGCTCACCGACCGTGGAACCTTTGACTGGACGTTTTATTTATTTTACATTTTCAGCTTTGATGCCCCAGCTCTGTTGATGGCAACGGTAAAAGGGACGGCTTTATGATGTGATCCTCATAATGACTGTGATACTTACACGTGTTAAATGAGGCTAATTAGAATCAGAAGATAATTTTAAAAAATATATCATCCATTGAATAAAATGGCTAACTTGGTGAAGGAAGTTAAATTGTTATCGAGTATATCTACTTTTAAAAATTATGAAATAGTCAGTTGATTATTTATTAGGTTTTAAATTAATCATTTTTTGTTAAAATTTTGACGGTATTTCGAGCCGAATGTTAATATATTGAATGTGATATGATAAAATATGATCTTAAAATCTTAAATGACTATCATATCACAAGTTAAAATTCAACTTAAACAATCGTTAACTTTTAACGGAAATTTGATGAGTTCGGAATATAATGAATAATCGGGTAACCATTTTATAATTTTTAATAGTCTAGAGATTTAAGAAATCAACATTTTATAGTTCGATTTATTTTATATATTTTAATAATCGATAAACTTAATAAAATTGTACCCTATTATTAGTTGATGAGCTATCTGGGTACTATACTAAGAAGGCTTTTTGGCTCAATAGGGCCATTAAAATAATAATTTAGGAATTTACCCATTATCAATCAAAGTCAAGATACAATCTAGGTCGGTTTAGTTTAATTAAGACGAATCCTTGAAAATCGAAAGAAAAAAAAATCTAACTTTAAATCTTTAATCACAATAAAATATAATTTGAAGCCGTACAATCCATGGTGGACAAAAAGTTCAAGAATAAGGCCCAAATATGAAATGTGAATAACCCATTTTCCTCTCTTTAAAATAAGGGGCGTTTTTGGTTTTAGGTGTAGGGATAATAATTTAATCTAAAATCTATAGATTTTAACTTGTTAGATTTGATAGGATTATTTTTTATATAAAAATTTAAATTTGGGTTAGGTTAAATTTTATATAGGGTGAGGTAAAATTAGATTGAGGCATTAGTAAAAAATTCAACCCGAACCATAACAATAGTATAATTTCTTTTATAAATTTAGAGATAATTATTATATTAATCTTTCTTTCTATAAATTTAATAAAGTCATTGTTTATATCGAATCAAATCGAGTACAATATATGTTTTTATTCTAAAAAGTTTAGGTTGGACCAGATTCAGGAGAAAGGGATGTAATTTTCAGATCAAGTTCGAGTTGAGGATATATGATTTTCAAATCAGATTAGGCTTAGATGGATTATATATGTTTCTTGAGTTGACTGACCAGAAACTCGATCCATTATTATTTTTATACGTCACTATCTAAAATGATTTCATCTTTTTTATATTATTAATATCTAAAAGTCCGCACTCCAATGTACGTGTCATTGTACGATGTAATGCATCGATTATGAATCAAATATACTATCGTATATTATCTATCATATGATACCATATCACCATATGTACACTAAAGTAAGACCACGACACCATTAAGGAGACCATAAAAGGATAGAATCATATTTTCCTTTAATGAACGCATTTATTATAAAGCTCAGTTGGTAGAGCACAAGGTTCTTAACCTTGAGGTCATGGGATCGAGTCCCACGGAGGGCATTTCATAATTCGGAGGTCTCTTACGGAAGTTGCTCTCAACCTGGTGTTGGGGGTAGCCTACTATCTTACCTCCCCCTACCTCATATATATGGGAAAAAGGGACAATCAATCATTTATTATAAAGCTCATATTCCTAAAATGCAGCTTTCACCCACTTTTTATTCCTCGTTATCTTACAAAAATCTCCCTTTTCGCAGTCCTCGAGCTATTCTTTTGATTCTTCCAATCTGCCCTTTTGGTAGATCCGAGTCGTTCTTCCCCAAATCCCATGGAGAAGATGGTTAGAAGAGGGGAAATAAGATAGAAAACCCTAATCCAGGTTCAAGCAGCTTTCTCCCGAT